CAGTTGATAGTAATAAATGGCTTAAACCACTCACATGGACAGGAGCCTATATAGTATTGGCTCCGTAAAGAAGGTCCTTTATGCTCTTTGGGCAGCAAACACCCCTTTGTCCCCGGCAGTATCACTCCAGGAGTATACAACGAGAGAGAAAACAGAGAAGCAGCTGTGTAGAAAGGCACATACTATATTGGTATAAAAGGTATAAATAGTAGTGCTTACCTTTTCCAGAGCCCTGAAATCCCGGCTCTGAGGTTAGAAAGCAATGTGCTATTTTAGGGGGGAATATCACTCTCCCCAATGGAGTTCCTGACGGCTAGAAAGGACTTTGGACTAAAATATACAATAATATAAAATAATAATAATATATACTGCCGGGGACAAAGGGGTGTTTGCTGCCCAAAGAGCATAAAGGACCTTCTTTACGGAGCCAATACTATATAGGCTCCTGTCCATGTGAGTGGTTTAAGCCATTAATTACTATCAACTGCCTATCTGGATAAACCGTCTGCACTATATCTCCCTGTTTTTCTTGTTCCCCTTTTTTGTTCCCACAGTCTTGTCTTCGTTATTCTAAACACAGATCAGGAGATCTGCCTTTGGAGTATGCTAACTCAAATATAAAACAAATGACAAGGCAATCTCAAGATTCCTTTCACAAGACATAACACAACATCCACCTGAAAATAACCATAATACCACAGAAAACAGGTTCTTTAGATCAGACATTTTTAAAATCCTTACCTAGCCGAACAGGGGTCTCAAAGAGCACCAGAGAGTCAAAAACAATTCTAGGTAGAAAAATAATTATTCTTACCCGCTGCAGTTGATTAACCGCCTGGGCTCCGAGTCAATCCTTCTGGGTCCGGATGGACTGGACTCGTCTGATCCCGGGTTTCACTGCACCAAATTGATATTGATCCAAATATTGATCTTTGTTATATTCAGAGGAAGCCCAAATTATTATTACAAGTGCACTTGGAATGGAGCGCGAATTAGACACCAGACAACTGTTGGTATTCAAAATAAGCCTCTGTCGTTGATTCTTCAGTTGGGTTTTTATACATTAAAAAAATACTTATTGGATAGTAGTAGGAAGGTAGTGAAAGGGTGAAAGGAGTACAGATAAGACATAGGGATGAATGTATTGTACATATAACAAATAAATTCTGAGAAAGAATAGAATAATTTGAGAAGAGACAGCTCAGGTGGGACTATCTGCTCCCGGAACTAGACATATATGGTCTTAAGTGTCGTTTTAAGCATCAAGCATTTCCTGAGTCCAAGTTAGCCAATTTTAATATATGATATCATAATATGACACCTATAAGTTTGAGCCTTGAATAAAGATATTACTATTACTGGGGACAATGCTTGTTTTTGGTTTTGAACCTATACTATACCTTAATTATATTCTGTATTATTTTTTGTGGCTCACTGAAGTGTATTTAATGTACATCATAATGTGATGAGTGCATTTTCTTTTTAATGATTACCTTGACTATGGTTGTGAGAGTTCCAATCATTTGTGGGTGGCCACCCATTTCACTCAGGTGTCTTTTATTTTGTTATTAAGTGATGGTATATAAAGGTGATATTTTCTTTTTCACTACATGCTCCCTTAATAAAGGTGGATAGTGCCGAAACGTTGGGGGCTATTATTTTTTTGATGTCTTCACCCTCTTCTCATGAGCCTTAACAGGTTCTATTTTCGGTATGTACTTTTTGGTTTACACTCTCATACAGGTATCATAAAAAATGTTTTTCTATATTTGTGGTTATACCACTCAGTTCGCATATTTCAGATTGATTTTTCCTGATCTCTTTCTTTGGTCTTAGTCAGTGCTTGCATATCGTTGTATATGTTTGACTATATTGATAGATTGAAAATAAAATATTTTGTATTTTAGTTGGTTGTGCTCCTCTTTTCAGTATTATATTATTGTATCAGTAGCCTTTTGGAAATAGGGCTTTATGAGTGAGTACCCTTATCTGTATTAATTGCCTGAATCTATTGCATATGGCGGACAACCAGGCGTGCCCACCATTGTTTTGTTAATAAGTACCAACTGATGTCAGCTAATTGGGAACCCTCTGAGTGGGTTAATTTGTGATGTTTCCATCCCATTTCTCTGTCAGGGATTCAAAATCATATTTCGTGAGTAAAATTTCCTCCAATTTTGTGGCAGTTTAGCAGTTTTGTGGTGTTTGAAGTCGGAGCTCCAACCAACACGTCTAGTCAGTTTTTACAGATAGCAATACCCCTTCAACTTAATTATTTTGGATAAGATTTTTAAATGATCAAAACATCCACATAGACATTTATAGTGACTTCTGTAGATAAATCATTTGACAAGTTTTGTGATTGTGATCATTTGAAGAGCTAAAATGGAGGTCTACATTGTTTGAAGACCCTGCTGATAATAACATAAATTAATTGAGCATGGAGTTGTGTAGAACCTGTAATAAAGAAAAACAATGCTGAAATGTTTGAGTATTATTTTGTAACAACTGTTTTTTTTAATCCATATACCATCTGGTAACATAATTCCAAAGAAGCCTGTGCTGAAATAGTAAAGTAAATCATTAAACCAAATCAAATATTCGAAGGCAAACTTTACTTTTTATTTGTACAGGAAGAAATAAAATGTATTCTGGTTATTGTATTTTAAAATCTCTTACCGACTCAGTGTACTTTGCCTCTGCCAGTTATTTTGCCTTTCTTTCTGTTCATCAATTTAACTTTATCACATCTCCTTTCAAATATACTTTTGTAAGGAGATCTTCACTCACTGGAGAACATTATATTACCAAGAGGTCTACAAATGACTTACCAGGAGGTCTAAAATTACTTGATTGACTTAAAGAGGAATTTATATCATTAAAAAAGAAAACCCATTTAAAATCACCTAAACCTTTTGTTGAGATGCTCAATTTATATATATATCAAAGACTGATTTGCTAAAGTGCTTTATAAGGCTGAATTCAAAACAAATTAGCATTTTTGTGTTTTTTTTTTTTTTAAACTGGGAGCAGGAACACCTACCTGGGTTATAGCAATAGCAGGGTACTCTTTATATAGAAAACACAGAGAAGGCCAGAAAGGGAAGGGGTAGCCCTGTAGGCGAAGGATGACATAAAATAAAACCTAATACAAATTAGTGAGGTGAACATAGTCAGTTTGGGTTACTGTAATATTTAGAAATCGCACAGTAACTCATGTAGGTGTGATTTATAGGTCCTCTGGAGAAATAGAAGAGTTAGACAATCTACTAGTTGAGGAGATAGCTAAACTGACATTGAAAGGGGAACTTATCATCATGGGTGACTTTAATCTTCCTGATGTAAGCTGGAAAACCCAAAATATCTGCTTGTGCTAAGAGTACACATATTCAAAACTCCCTACTTGGATTAACTCTAAAACAAGTCATTGAGGAGCCAACTTGTAAGGTGGCCATACTAGATTTGCTGTTAACAAATGGAGATTTAATATCAGATGTTACTGTAGGTGAAAGTTTAGGATCTAGTGATCACCAGTCAGTGTTGTGTAATATAAGAAAAATGACTGAGTCACACCACACAAAAAACAAAAGTTTTAGAAAAACAGGACTTTTCTGAAATTAGAATATGCGTAATGAGTCATTATCAGACTGGAGCTTTTTAAATGGAGTTCCGGAGAAATGGGATTATTTAAAAGTTGCACTACTGAAGGAAACAGAAAAGTGCATTACACTTGTCAGTCAGAGCAAAAAAATGAAGAAAATTGTAGAAAGAAAAGTTAGCATTTAGTAATTTGGGAAAAAAATAGATAGATCTATAATATTAAGCACAGAGAGGCAAAGCAAGTTATGAGAGCTTCCAAATCACACATAGAAGAGAAAATAGCCCAGTCAGTAAAAATAAAAGGGGGACATTTTTTATAGATACATAAATGAGAAAAGAGAAGTAAAACAAGAATGTGTTAGACTAAAAACAAAAGAAGGTAGTTATGTAGTAGCTCTCCCCTCCTGCCAGACACCCGGGAACCGCGGCCTGGGCCAGAACGGCTGTGCACCGACCCAGAAGGTGTCCAGACGGCCCATGGTTGCAGGGGTTGTGGCTGCGGCCGGGCCCCCTGGAGTGAGGAGCCCAGTCACAGTGGCGACCCCTGCGACCATGGTAGGTACGCCACTGGGCAAAAGTTTAGAAATAAGTTTAAAAATAATATCAGGATATATTACAGAGAGGGAAGTGGATGCATGGAATAGCCTTCCAGCTGAAGTGGTAGAGGTAAACACGCTAAAAGAGTTTAAGCAAGCATGGGATAGGCATAAGGCTATCTTAGATATAAGATAAAGCCAGGGACTCATGAAAGTATTTAGAATATTGAGCAAATTAGATGGGCCGAATGGTTCTTATCTGCTGTCACGTTCTATGTTTCTATGTCAAGCAGACAGCCAGGCAGGTTGTCTAACTCTTCTGCTAGCTCCACGAATGGAAGTGGCAATCATGCTATCAATTTTAGTGTGTACCTTTCAAGCCCCCCTCTCAACAACCATGCAACACCAGGTTGTCCAACATTTGACATTAATGCCACCACTGACTGCCCTCTTGTAGTTGTAGTGAGGTTTTTTTTTCCTTTAATTTTGCCCTAGTATGCATTTAAAGGGACACTCCAGACATGACAATAACCTAAGGTATATATTTTTTTAAATATTTTTTTCCTAATGGAGAGTTACTGATAGGCTTATACTCTCAACCTATCAGTGCCCTCTTGAAAACTTTGCAGTTAAACGGTTCATTAATGGTCTAATCCCCTCCGGCAAAGCAGTGCTTGGGCGCCTATGACAACTTAATTCTAATGAATTGTTATTTTCTCTGGCGTGTTCCTTTAACCCCTTAAGGACACATGACATGTGTGACATGTCATGATTCCCTTTTATTCCAGAAGTTTGGTCCTTAAGGGGTTAATTACAATTATTACAGGGCAGTTTTATTTAAAATGTTTCCCTTTATAGCAAATCAAACGCGTTTAACACCCATAGGCAAACAGATTAAAGGTCATTCTGAATTGATAATATTATTGCGTAACCACATCCCTATATAAATGATTCCAGATGCCACTTCAGATATTTTTTGAAACCACAAGTATCCAGATAAACCAAGATGGTAAGTGCAGTATGCCCTATTTTGCAAAGGAAACAACATTTTCTCTGACATCTTTTAATTTATTAAAATAGGTGCTTCTTTCTTTAGTGTATACTTCGAATTAGCATAGTTTGACTCAGTTTAACTCAGTAAATGCTGTGTAAAATTGTGCTAGCAGTATTGAGAAATAAAGGAAATATGAGAGGAAGGAATACATTTTTAGGAGAGCAAAACTGCATTGGAATTTTTGTTAAAATGTAGGGTACATTCTCAGCATTTTTGTAATGTAAGTGTTATAGAGAATTGATCTTTACACATATAATTCCTAGTGTTAAGACAAGGTAAAAGACAAATGAGTATGAGTAAATGAGTATTTTTAGGACAATTGTTATCATTTAAGAACTGCTGATAAAGGGTTAAATATTATTGTAGTTGTATATTTTAATTATACAATTATAAGTTCTGCACACTTATTAATTTACCTGCACATTTATTATTATTGTTTTCAATATGCTGTTGGCTTAGAAGTAAAGAGCTACAGATGTGGCCATGGGCATCTGCAGGGGGAATCCTCCCCCTGGATATTTCAACTTGCCCTTTAAAAATTGTTCTGAGCAGTCGGCACTTCAGACAGAGTCCAAGGGTCCAGCCGAGGAAGGGTGCTCGCCGCCCTGCCACTCTATGTGGCAAACCTACATTTCTGCCATCTGCCTAAGTCCTACGTGAGGTGCGAAGACCGCGCAGTCCTCGGCGCTGCTTTTCCAGGAGGGAGATGGGATCTGGAGGAGCAGAGAAGAATTTTGGCTCAGTGCGCAGAGGCTTGCAACATTATGTCATGTACTGACGTTGATGTCCTTCATCAGCACGGGCCTGGATTTACTTTAAGGCAAACGGGAATGATCCACTCAGTTTGCCCAAAAGTTAATTGAATTAAGAACCCTGAAAATATGCATCGTCACCGCCTATTATTTGACCATGAATGTTGGAACGACCACAGCAGCAAGTCTACCAGCCCAACACGCCAGCCTGCCTGCCAGCCACAGCTGCCAACAAACAACAGTAATTAAGACAAAAGGAGCAAACTTGGCTGGGTATCAGAGAGTTTGTTGTATTGTAAATGGAGACAGTGTTAGAAGAGACCCCTCTTCAGGACCCCTTGGACTTTATTGTAGTCTCTAATGGGGCCTGGAGGGCACTGTTTCTAACAGACTCTCTAATGGACACTTAGAAGGCTTCTGTTAGAGAGAGCCCTCTCCAGGGACTCATTAGACTCAATTTCTGTGGGAAGTGTTATGGGTGCATTCTTGTGCTGCGGGTGCAATCTGGTGCTATAACTGGTGCTGTGAGTGATGCTTTGTACTGCTGTGTGTGCTTCCTAGTGCTGTGGCAATAGCTTTGTGTGTAATCTGGTGCCGTGAAAAGACATATGTATATTTTTTCTTTCATTCTTTATTTTTGTTGTGCATGAGATTACAGGTAAAAAGTGAACTCACTGTGCCACAACAGCTAAAGCAAGCATGTTTAAATCAAGAAATGACATGGCATGTGAAAAGGATCAGCACAATTTTATGTTAAAGGGATTCTCCTGTGACAGGAAAACTAACCAGTTTTCCTGGCACTGTAGAATCCTGGAGTACCCCCCTCCCAAAAAAAACCCTTCAGACACTTACCTGAGTCCAGCGCGATGTCCCTTGGTGCTGGGTCAGGCACCACCCATGCTCCTCCCCTGCTGACGTCGCCGGTGGGGGAGACCTAATACGCATTAGACCTCCCTCATTCATTGCTTTGCTTTGGAAATTACAGCGACGCTGGAGCTCCTCATGCAGGGTGTGAGGACGTCCAGCCTCGTTTAGATGTCATCTAAGAAGCTGGAAGTCCCTCTAATGGCTGTCTGTTAGACAGCCACTAGGGAGGGCTTAACCCTGAGAGATAATTATTGCAGTTTATAAAAACTGCAATAATTACACTTGCAGGGTTAAGGGTGATGGGAGTTAGCACTTAGACCACTTCAATGGGCTGAAGTGGTCTGGGTGCCTACAGTGTCCCTTTAAGTGAATCAGGCTAGATATGCACAAGTAGATTGTAAGATTCTTGTACAAGCTTAGTTTAACTGAGAAATCAATACTAGAAATATCAAGTCAGTACAACCATGCATGCGTAGACAATTGTGTTAAAGACATCAGTGGTGTGTAGGCTGTTATGGAGAAGAAAATAAAATCCAACTAGACTAATTACGGTTGGTCCTCAGTTTCACCTTGGGGGACATATTCAAGAGAACAGGAGACAGGCATGAGTCCTACAATATACATAATAAACAAAAGAGAAAACAAATTCACTCCCCCACAACTTGCAGTGGTAACGGAGGTCCTAAGGAGAGTTCTGAGCCAGGGAGAGTTTCTTCTACGGCTCGTCGCCAAGTTCAGCCAATGCCCCGCGGGGACAAAATAGAGCCCAGTCGTGAGAGTCCCATTTTCAGCCCATCGGGTCACTGGTTTGGAGGCATGCCGTATATTGACCGGAGAAGGATCTGCCCAATGGGGCCTGCTGGATTTTCAGGAATCCCATGTAGAAGTCATAAATTTTAATTTTTTGTGCACCTTTACAGGAAATGCAGATTCTTTGCAAATTCAACTTTTTTTGTCATCTCATCACTTGGAGTGATAATCTTGGAGGAAGACACTGGAATCGTGTAGAGCAGGGGCAGGCAAATTTGGCACTCTAGATGTTCTGGACTACATCTCCTCTAATACTTGGCCATCATTATGGCTATAAAAGCATTATGAGAGATTGGTGCCTACTCCTGGTCTACAGAGTATACATTGTAAAATCTATATTTGCTGACAATTTCCCTTGTACAATGTACAAATTGAACATTTACATGCACGATGATTACATTGTCATCCACTGATTTTGTGGGTGACAAGTCTATTTTGAGGATAACTACTGTACTGATAAACCACCTATGTTTATTTATTTATACTTTGCAGAAGTTTATTTTGGCTACAATATTTGCCTTTGGCAGTTTGATGACAATATGCAATGCTGCCTGCTACAGACAAAGGAATAAACCATCCCCTGATGGAGAGGAACCCAAGGGTGAGTAATGTTTATTTTTTCATGTGATATTGTTCTTGAAAATATTCCCCCTATTATAGAACATTTCGAGCACCATAACCACCACAGCCCACTGTAGTTGTTATGGTGCTGTGTTAAGTGAAGGTAGCGAGGCCTTTACCATTTAACCCCAGGGGAAGTACGTGTTGTATGTGTGGTGTGCAACACAAAGCTACGTTTAGTTATGGGCCCCTGGGGCGGAGCATTTGGAGAGCAGGGTGGGCCAATGCTCCACTCCTCAGTTTATACACAACTGGGAGAAATCAGGTCCAGGCAAGAGTTTTTTTGAACTGTCTCCAACCCACTGCTCAGCTGCAGATAATCAGCTATAGCAGTGAGAATAAACCCCTCCCTGCTAGGCAGGTAAAGGGGGATTGCTGGCTTCCTCCCTGGAAGCAGGTAGGAGAGAGGCTGTTCTCTCCAGTGAGAGAATCAAGGAGACTGAGCACTGGGAGTGCAAAAGGAAAGCAGTCAAGGCTGGCTTGGAGCACTGGAAGTGCAGAAAGGAAAGCAGTTAAGGCTGGCTTGGAGCACTGGGAGTGTAGAAAGGAAAGCAACAGGCTGACTAAGCACTAGAGTGCAGAGAGCTGACAAAGACACTAGGTTGGTGAAACCAATATTGTTTTGTTCTAGGTTAACCCATGAGAGTCAGGGAACCTGATGTTAGTAAGTGCTCAGACGAGCTAGGTTTTTGTTTAAAGGGATTTGTGTTATATTTTATGTTTTCATTTGCTGCTGTCTCCTGTGTTGACTTACAAATAAAGGGCCTGGATTATATGAAAATAAAAGGACTGTGCCTGTTTTTACCCTAGAGGACCATGCTACCTGCAGACAAGGATCACAGTGCCAAGAGTGTCCTGGTGCTCCACCAATTTAAGTAGTCAAATTATTTGCTAACAGTTTTACAACTTACCTGGGGTCCACCGTGTGCTGGTAAATTAGCTCTCCTGAGATAAACCCTGCTGTGCCGGGCAAGCTCATTGGTTGATATCATCAGATGATTGCTGAGCTAAGCTCTCCACTGCACCTGGTTTGATTACTTAAATTAGATGGGAACCAGGGTGTTCTGGCACCACAACCTTCAGAGTAACACCATCAACTGCAGAATATTTCCAAACCCCTGGCACAAAATAATTAAACTTTAATTGCATAGGACTAAACAATAGGTGAAATAAAACACCCTTTTATAAGCCCTCTTTTGATAATTCTATTCAAATTTAAATAACTTTCCAATTTCTGTGATCATTAGATCTCTTTTAGGATCAAACAATAAACGATGACTGTTGTTAGGAGAGAGTATGAATGTAAGGAATAAGGTATTACACTTATTGCTAGGTAGACGTAAAAGATTTTGGCCAGCTGTTAATACTATAGCAAGAAATACATATGCATCTGTAATTCACTGTTTTATTTGAGATAACATGTTTTTGTCTTGCTCAATTTCTCTCCATTGTTTTTGCATTTATCCTCTTGCTTTCATTTCTCACCTATGGCTCCCCATGGGTGGGTGTGTGTGTGTGTGTGTGTGCGCACACACACTTTTTTCACTCTTTTTTTTTCTCTTTCTCTCTTTTTTTTTTCTCTCTCTTTTTTTAAATTTTTTTTTATGGTACTATTAAAATGAATTGTGTTTTGAAGGTTGTTTGGATGAAAATGGTGTGCTCCATGAATTTAATACTCGGTGGAGGACAAAAGATTGCTTTGACTGCAGTTGTGCAACTGCTTTGATGTCCTGCTGCTTAGCGTAAGTTGCAATAATTTCTTTTGATTCAATTAAGCAGACCAAATTGTTTACACAGGACTTAGAATGTGGGATATCCATTGAGGGAGTACATGATTTCAGATTTGCTCCTTCATGCTCTTGCAAATATCATACATTATGGCTAAATGGGAAAAGCAGAACTGTGAGGCCAGAATTAAAGGGGTGTATATAAAAACATAATTTGGGTTGGGATGCGGGATTGTGATGCAAGTGTCATGTTCCTCCTGTGTGGTCACGATTATAAGAGTCAGTACTGTGTTATCACCTTTTGTCAGTATCTGTCACCAAATATTACTGAGACTCTGGAACATGGCTTTCAGTTAACATTTTATTCAGTCTAAGCACATATCCAATACACTAGCTGATTCCTCCGTAACAACTCAAAATTGTTTCCAACTGTCACACACCGAGACCTAGACATTCCAGGAGGGGTGTCCTGCTCATCTTAAAGCTGCAGTCAAGATGCATATAAAATAAAAACTCTGAAAGATTTTGGATAACAGTGTAAGATTCAACAGAAATATATATAAAACAGTAACTCAAACGTAAACTAGAACAGTTCATCTGTATAGTTAACGTTCATGTAATCCAGGGTGTGATCCAAATTTACATGGACATATTGAGGGTGGTCTTCTTTGCTTAGATGGTCGTAGAGTATTTGGTTCAGAGGTGGTTGCAGGAATCTGGTGTCTGGAGGAATAACCAATGGTTGTGAGTCAACAATGGTTGTGCATTTTGTTGCTGAATGATATCATTCTGATGCTGTTCTGTATCCTATTTGGACATAGTATTTTCATCCTTATGTCACTCTGGTGGACACCATACTCTGGTATATGAATCCTGGGATTGTATTTTAATTGGTAGAAATGTATATCATATCTATTGAACATTCTGTTACCAATGCCTTGTATTATGATCGTTAGAATCCATTTATCCTGCCCATGGTAGTTTCTAATCAATAATATATATGAATGTATAACTCTGGAACACTAGAAGTGTTCAAACTCTCTTTAGGATGTTCTGGCCAAACTTGATTAAGAGGAGTTCTCTAGCTTCTTACAAACATTAACACAATTGTAGGACATGGTGTGTTCCAACAGTTAAATTTAAAAAAAATGGAAAGTGTCTCTGGAATAAATTTTGCTTTGTGAGTGACAACTAAATTACATTTCAGAGTTTGTACAAATTGTCCAAACTGTTGATTAAAGGCAAGTGTATTCCAAAATTAAATGAAATTTCAAAGTAAAATGCAAATATCTTGATATTTCTACCCTTAAATGAGCTAGATACCTAACTGATTGAATATATTAATAAAATCAAAATCAAAAGATGAGGTTCTGTTCAAAAGTTTTCAGAAACCTCCATCAAAAGATGTATGCAAAAACAAGTTTTGCAAGTTCACGAGTGCTCCAGAATCATGGGGCTGTAGCTTAGTATAATGAACCCGTTAAATACAATGTATCTTAACTGTCATCTGCCTAAGATAAAGAGAGAATATTGTTTTCTCTTGATTCATGTGCACGTCTAATAAAGGTTAGCTATATAGACCTAAAGTCACTCAGCATATATCTATATTACTGCTTCATTAAGCCATCAGATACAATTATTCTTTCTCATAACACTGTAGCTAAATAAGCCCTAATCAGATTCATGAGTAGTCTCGGGACAACGGTCTCCCCTGACGAGCGCGTTTCGCCTCAGCTCATCATCTCAGGGGAGACCATTGTCCCGAGGCTACTCATGAAAGACCATTTACATTGAGGTCTCGAGACTTCGGGAGCACTTTATCACCCTAGCTTTTCGCAAACAATATTAGGAATTACTGGCAGCGCTAGTCTGCAATTTTGTATCTATGTGACAAGTCTGATTAGGGCTTATTTAGCTACAGTGTTACATGCTTTATTTGCTCTTACTCGTGTCAGTGTATCCAACACTCACGAGAAAGAATAATTGTATCTGATGGCTTAATGAAGCAGTAATATAGATATATGCTGAGTGACTTTAGGTCTATATAGCTAACCTTTATTAGACGTGCACATGAATCAAGAGAAAACAATATTCTCTGTTTATCTTAGGCAGATGACAGTTAAGATACATTGTATTTAACAGGTTCATTATACTAAGCTACAGCCCCATGATTCTGGAGCACTCGTGAACTTGCAAAACTTGTTTTGATGCAGGTTTCTGAAAACTTTTGAACAGAACCTCATCTTTTGATTTTGATTTTATTAATATATTCAATCAGTTAGGTATCTAGCTCATTTAAGGGTAGAAATATCAAGATATTTGCATTTTACTTTGAAATTTCATTTAATTTTGGAATACACTTGCAGTACTTTTTTATCTGATGACATTTAATAAAAGTTATATTTTAAGGGTACTCGTTTCTTTTTTTCTTCCACTAATTTTAGTATCTAGGGTTACCCCCTTCCTCGAGTTTCCCTTTTTCAGCTTCCTTCCTTTTTGGTATTCATTGTTGATTAAAGGCTCATACATATGAAGAGTCTTACAGTGTAGGATATTATTTGAATCACGAAAAGTTCCTGTGATGCAAATTGTGCACCATTGCTTTAGGTAGTCCAATCTTGCATACGAACTGGAAAGTATGACGCTGGTTTGTTCTGTTGCAGTACTTGATATTCAAACCCCTTTTGGTTACACAGAGAGCATCCACAGCTTCAAAATACATTCATCCATCCACTGATCCTGCAAAATCAGGATTCTTGTCCAAGAATCAGTTGGTAATGGCCAAGCCTTGCAGGAATCCCTGGTCAGATTCCGTGAATCTGTGCACATGCATTGCAAGCAGCTACACGAGAAGATATATCTGTATTCAATGCAGGCCACCCAATATATTCCCATGATCTTTGCTTCATTTTTACTATAGCCTGATGTGAGCTGTGTAGTAACTTTAGAGCTTACGTTTGCAGCCAAGTAGGATTTATTACTTGTGAACCACAGAAAAGACAGCCTCAGTCTTTACAATTTGAGTTGTCTTGGAAAAACAGGGTGGAATATCAGTGTAACGGATCACCTGGCACCCCAACTGGGTACCTCCATTGATGGATGCTCCTAGTGCTTCACAAGGGCTCCAAGCACTCCACTTGACATCATAAACACTGAAGACCCCACGAACCGCTGCAGCTTGGTTGGGGTCTCGCTGTCTCCTACCCACCCTGGACCTACGACAAGGCTCCAGGATCCAGTGGGTAAACTTCTCTTTTCCCAGAGAGTGAAGCAGGAACAAGCTCTTACAAGAGCTTAGTGAATATTCAAGCGAGTATGAAGAGCATAGCAATCCCTTGTAGCAGATTCCACCCAATAAGAGAAAGGACTTTAGATTGAGGGTTAAGTAGAACAGAAGGTTTATTGCCGCAGCCTGGAATATATACAGTTTTTCAGGCCAGAGGCACACCCCCTGGACCTGATGGAAAACAGGGACAAAAGGAACATAAACCAAGAAAAACATAGTTTTACAAATAATCCCACTCCTCCGTCTGTGATATAATTAACGTAGACAATGGACTAACTGTAAGTTGAAAAAAACATACATTTTTACAAACCCCAAAAAGTACTCCAAAATACAACATATCCCCACAAAAGTGATCACCGATCTGGATGAACAACATATACAAAAATCACCCAGATCGGTTCAGGGGTTCAGGAATTTCCTGGAAGTCTTATTTTTGCCCCACCGTGCACATGGTCCCATGCCCAAAACAGTTCCATAAACTCGACAACAAAACACTGCTGGACAATTTAAGATTGCCACAGCCACATGTTTGAATCTGTTCCAGTTAAAAGTCCAAGGGGCAGAAACAGTACTTTTGAACATGGGTTATCACAGGGCCCATAGTCCCAGGCCTCTCCAAAAACCAGTGGCAAGGTCACTTTCGCCACAATCAGCGTGAACTACTTTAGGTCACCCACTTTGAAAAAAAGACTTAATCTCCTGAAACCTAGAATACAAGCATGTATAAGTAGCAATCACCTTGGAATTTAGATTCAACTGCTGAAGAGGAGTCAAATCGCTGTTGTGTTAGCGATACCCTTCTGAGGGTATAAAATGGACAATAGTGGTTTATGATCCACGATTATAGTAAAATGTCTGCCATAAATATAAATGTGAAATATCTTCACAACCCAAATTATTGCAAGAGCTTCCTGATCAATCGCGTCATAATTTTTCTAAGCCAGAGATTTGGATGCAAGGGACACAGGACATTCAGAACCATCAAGCATAATGTGTGGAAGCACTGCAATCAAACCATATGGGGAAGCATCATAGGTTAGTACCAAAGGTTTCTTAAAGTCATAGTGGGCAAGGAGCCTTGATTCCACAAAAAGTTGTTTGGAGAACTCAAATGCCTTTGCACATGATATTTTACTATCTAAAAGACCGTGCAGTGCATGTATAAAGTGAGACAAATTCGGTAAGAATCAGTGATAATAATTGAGATGTAGCTGAGATACATTGACAGGTGTGGAAGCATTAACTAGCCCTTTCACCTTTTCCTTAGCTGTGTGGACACCATTATTTTCCACAGCATGCGCACAATACTTCAAACTGTCATGTAAGAACTCAAATTTCTGTATGTTTACTTTAAATCTGAATTCCTGTGGGAATTGTATAACATGTTCGATATTCGCTTTATGAGCTACATCATTTTCACCAGTAATAGGGATGTCATCTAACATGTAATGGGTGTGTTGACATACAGAAGGTGCTGGGGCAATTCCAAACACCATCCACATATACGGAAAAAGTCCTTTTGTAAGTGTTGACAAAGTTAACAAGTACCTTGAGTCTGGATGTACCTCCAACTTTAAGTGTGTTTGATGTTAGTCAGTTTTGCTAATTTTTCTCCACCTGCAAGTGCATTAAACAATTCTACGATCTGTGGTAAAGGATATTGATCAGCAACCTATTGGGTTAACTGCCACGGTGAAAGCTCCCCCAAAATTGAAATCTCCCTTTTGTAAACCAGAATGATAGTGCCTTGATTTAATTCTTTCAGATCTGCTTCAATTTTAGTTTTCAGTGCAAAAGGTACAATTCTTGATGTACAAAATGTTTTAATAGCATTTGCCTTTACGTGAAGTCAAATTTGCTTGCCTTTGACTAAACCTAGTGTTCCAACAAATACAGTTTTATACTTTTGGTTTAGTGTTTCAATCCAAGTAGAATATGAATTGTTATTGTGGTCTATTAGTTTAGTAAGAGGTAACCATTTGTGGTAACTTTTGCATGCCTATAGCTTTGATCCAGGATCCACCAAACAATGGTGGTCCTCCTTTAGGTAAAATGTAGAGTAGTAGTGGTTCAGTTATTTTTTTTTGTTCTATTAAATCACATATGAGTTTCACATGACATTGATATTAAATTGTACACAATGTATTTCGCTTATTCATATTATAAACTCATATACACATATAACATAAATTCAATTATACACCATTTTTACCTGGATGGACGCGAGATGTTACCCATTGATAATATAAACAGAAAAAAAACCAACAACTTTTATAAAAAATTTTTTATTAAAAAGTACTTTCAATAATACTTTGCAAGTTTTTAAGAATACTGCTTTCCTGTCTTGCTTTAACGCTTGTCCAAAACAGTCCATGTTCCATTCTGCACTGAAAGAGTATCTGTTCACACAGTTGTGGTCACTAAATGTCATCTATTTTATCCCATTTTCTAGCTATTAATATTTTAGCGAAATATCAACTGGGTCTGATTTTTATTTAGCCTTGGCCATTTTAGATGCAAGAACGCAATTTCAGGTTTCAGCTCAATAATAACATTGCCAATCAAATATAATTTTTCAAAAACCATATCCCACATCTTTTTGATTATATTACACTTCCACCAAATATGAAGATAATCCCCCGGCTTTCCTACATCTCCAACATTTAGACCTATAAGTATTCAAAAACGTAGCCAGCCTGGCAGGAACAGAATACAAAAATTGTATCAGTTTTAATTGGTTTTCCAAAATATTAGTGCTATGAATAGATTAAAGACCAGTGTATGGGTGAAGCGCTATATACCAAAGTGGAGAAATAATGCCCCGTGATGAACACCAGAACACTGAAAAAATACCTTCTGTTTATATAGTTCACAATAATCCTTTATAGGAATTTCCTAAAAGCATAAACAGAAAAATACAACCATAGTGCAAATCTGTAATAATAAAAGGTGTGGTAGAAATATACAAAGGTCCCACTCACACTTTTAGGAGCTAAAAGGGTATAGCTCAATTGAAGCACTTTCAGAGTCCGTAGAGGTGACTCTTATCCCTTCTTTTAACTCTTCCTTTCTTATATTCTGGAATGTATAAAGGGAAATACCTCTGGTGCAATAACGTAGGCTGGATGTGTATATAATAGAAAGGGAAATAGGGTACTTACAAACCCAGAATAGATTCATTATATATTTTTAATGCCTCAGATCATTCTTTGGAATGGAATTCCATCTGCAAAATTTTACCCCATTTTCCCCTGATATCCTGATGTTTATTATCATATTTTAGACTTAAATAACTATAGGCTTCAGACATTATTTTTGTATAATAAATAAATAAATATATATATATATATATATAAAAATATATATATATATATATATATATATGTCTAAGTATATATAATTTTATTTTAAACTTTATTTTAACTTTTTTCAGGCAGCAGGCACTCTCCCTGCTGGCACTGCAGTGGATGGCTATGCCGTCCATGTGATCGTGAGATCCTCACAAGGACCTCGCAATCACATGGCCCAGGAGGACCGGAATGGCAGCATGGGTACTCCCTGGAATGCCAGGTGAGTCCCCCCACCGCGATCGCTGGCGTGGGATTGCTAGCAAGTGGGTAAGTACATAGGACGGCGGGGACATGCTATGCCGCCCCTGGTGTTTAGAGCTGGGTCTCCAAGAACGGCATAGCATGCCCGCCGTCCTTAAGGGCTTAATCTATACTGTAAAGTATCTTAAATTATGCACTATAATATTAGTTTTATAATAGTTTCATCAGTAATTATATATTGCACCATCTCATTGTGATATTCTCTGTATTATATTGTGCCGTTACATCCTATCATTCTTAATTTAAACAGTATTATCATATATATTGTGTACTATTACTACTATTTCTATTTTTTAAAATATATAAGCAATTAATTAATTTATATCTACATTCTCTGGGGGTCTTCAGCTTTTCCCCCTGCTCTCAGCATGCGATTCGTATACCATTGTATACGTTTATCCAGTCAGCCTCCCCCTTTCAGTTCCACTGCAATGGTTTTCACCTCCATGGCATCACTTCGTGTCTGCCTCACCGTCCACCAGGGAACACTCCTGTCTCCTTTCAGGCTTAGCTCAACTGCCTGCAATGATTTTTACCTCCACCACGTCACTTTGCATCTGCCTTACCATCAGGGAACACTCCTGTCATCTGCCGCGTCTGACTTCCTATCCGCGCCCTGGTTGTTGCACGTGCGTCTCACGTCATCACGTCCTCAACAAGTAGTTCAGTTATTCTAGTAAATATCCCGGTAGGTGATACACACCCAATAGGTTTTATTATCTCATATGAATATATTTGCTTAGGAACAATTGGGTGTTCTAGACCCAGTCAGCATCTAGCGTCCTCCTCCCCCGGCCACAGGTAAGAGGCAGGGAGGGGACATAAACTTACATTATTATACATTTTAAAAAAACCTGCTCCTCCCCACAGCCTTTATCCAACACCACAAACACACACGGTATCCAATTCACGAACACTCACACTACATCCACTGCATAAAGACTGCATGCACTACACAAATACAGACACTGCATCCACTAAACAAACACATACACTACATCCACTATACAAAGACTGCATCCACTACACATTGCATCAACTTTCCTCACATACTCTTTCTGCATCCACTACACACACACACACAAACTGCATCCACTCTCCAGTCACACATTGCAACCACTCTACACACACACACACAAACACACACACTGCATCCACTATAAACACACACTGCATCGACTTTACATATACTTGTGGGAGGACTTGGAAGTGAACCCTGGGTGCCCAGGCCTTGAGCCGTGTAAGGGCCCCAACATTTCTCATGGCAGCCCTGCATGTATTTGTCATGTGGCATTTGAATAAAAACAGAGAATATTTTTTATTTATTAAAGTTGCGGTCTTTGAGTTTCTGCTGTGTCCATAGCAGTCACATCGTGCTAGAGCAATAATTGCTATTTCTATTGTGTCATGGAATATTTATAAAAATAATAATTTTGTGAATATGTTTCTAAGATATTGAAGAGCGCCATTGCAAAGAGCCACATGTGTACTGCATTCATGCATGCATTTTGCTTTTTTATTTTAAGTAATGATGGATTTGGGGTTTAATATTTCAATAGTGGTAAATATAAGTCAGCTAACAGTCACATATGGCAAAGAGTGATAAATATGATAGCGGTAAGTAATAATAGAAAATGTAGGTTAGTGTGTTCAGGATACATAATTAAACAAGTAGTTTGACTATATCTCACTTTTGATATTTAATATTTCTATTATGTTCCAGTCATTTTGAACCTGTCAACTATGATGAAAATGAATGTTTTGTCAAGTATGATAAGGATGCTTGCACCGTGGAAGTACTACAAAGGAAGAATCCTACAAAGCAGTGCGAGCGCTATGCAATGATTGGCTAACGATGAGGTCAGCATGATCCAGATTCCGTCCTTAAGCCTTCTCTGAATCTACTGAAACAATGACGATCAATGCTGTATTGAATACCTTTGTTAATTAATAAAATAGTCATGTTGAGTGCTTGCTTGTAATTTTATTTTTTTGGGTATTTTTTTTTGGCAGAGATACCACTTATTGCCACGTACCAGTCTATATTGATTAACAGGGGTTCAGGGGATAATTCAGATATAATGTTTTTTCTATTCACCAGGTACCCACAGCCGATGTGTGCAGATAGTGGGCACATAAATTGTATCCACTAAAATAACACAACTCAAGATCTGTATATATAAAATGAGAGGAATTCAATGTCTGTCAGCTAGTGTATTTCAGTCAATGTGTGTGTAAATGTGTGTGTCTGACTCTGAGTGCATTTATGTCTGTCAGTGAGTGTTGGATATCTGTTTGTCAGTGTGTATCTGTCAGTTAGTGTGTCCCAGTGTGTGTGCGCCTGACACTGAGTGAGTCTGTATGCATTTCTGTCAGTAAGTGTGCATGTGTGTCGGTGAATGGGTGTCAGTCAGTGAGTGTGTGTGTGTGTGTGTAACTGTGAATGAGTATGTTTCAGTGAAAGTGTGTATTGTTTAACCCCTTAAGAACCAAACTTCTGGAATAAAAGGGAATCATGACATGTCACACATGTCATGTGTCCTTAAGGGGTTAAACAGTGTGTGTGACAATGACTGTATCTGTAAGTGAGTGTATGTCAGTGCATGTATAAGTGAGGGTGTGTGTCTTTTAGGAAGAGAAATTTGGAGGAGGGGGGGTGTCCGAATTTTGTCATGCCTACAGCAGAACAAAACCAGAATACACCTCTGATTGCAGTGCTTTACACTGTGCAGCACTGCCCCAGGAAGCACCTCTAGCAGCCATCTGAGGAGTGGCCGGTGGAGTTATCACTAGGCTGTAATGTAAACAGAATTTTCTCTGAAAAGACTGTTTTCTGCAAAAAGCCTGAAGGGAATAATTCTACTCACCAGAACAAATACAATGAGCTGTATTTTTTCTGGTGACTTTAGTATCCCTTTTAATATGAAAGAGGTAAATTATGGTTTAACAGACATATAGTTAAATTCCAGGTTTTATTTTGATCAGAACATGTACATTTGCTTCCAGCTTTAAGTGATTAAACTACATAGCGTAATCTACAAATTAACTTGCATCCCCTTTATAATGATACCAATTCATATTTTTCATGACAAGTTTATTTTAATGACCCAAAGTTACATGGTCACATAGCTAACATGATTGTGAGTTATCAATTTATATTATTATACGTGAAGTTATTGTTAATGGAACACCCAAGCAGGGGCGTACCTAGAGCATTTGGCACCTGGGGCGGATCCTGTGCTTGGCACCCCCCCCCACCAAAAAAAGAAAAAAAAAAACCTGTAAAAAATGTTAAAGGTTTTCTTTCTTTTTTTTAACAATTTGTAAACTTTGCAAAACCGCTGTCAGCCCCTCCTACAAAACCCTTGTCCTGCCCCGCCCCTCCTACAAAACCTCTGTCCTGCCCCTTCTACAAATCCTGTACTGCCCTGTCTACAAAACCCCCGCAACCCCCTTCCACAAATCCCCTGCTTATCCCCCCTTATAAAGACTCCTGTCCCAATACAAAACCCCCGCCCCCTTCTACAAAATCCCTGCAGCCCCACACACACATTTACAGGCAGACAGTCACACACTCAGTTACAGACAGACAGTCACACACTCAGTTACAGTCACAGGCAGACAGTCACACATACACATTTCCTCCGTGCGGCCAGTTTATCAGCTGTTTGCTTGTGTGAGCTGTACTGGCCGCACGGCACCCTAACTACCATGGGACACTGTGCGGCCACAGCTCACACAGCCCCCTCCAGCCAGGGCCGGTGCAAGGATTTTTGCCGCTCTAGGCAAAAGTAAAGTTTGCCGCCCCCCATGTGACATCACAATGCCTCACCCATAAGGATTTGCCATGTTAACTAACGCCAGTGCTGCAGTGTCGCCGTGTTTACATTAAAAGGCCTGCAGGGACAGGTTATAGACACCAGAACCACTACATTGCTGAAGTGGTTCTGGGGACTATAGTGTTTCTTTAATGTGAGGTAAATTAGAGCTTAGTGCCACGAATAATATACTAGATTGCCTACTTACAACCAGATGAGGATGATGATGGGCTATAGCTGCAGTCTGGCTCCACTGGTCTGGTCAGGGCCGGACTGGGAAAAGAATTCGGCCTGGGCATTTTTTTATCACAGCGGCCCACTAAGAAGGGGGCGGGGCAGAGAGGGTGTGTTTTGTCATCACTCATGACAAACACGCCCCCTCTCAAAGTGAGCATGTTGGTTCAATGCTCTTCCAGGGCAGACCATGCACAGAGCTCTGCTGAAGAGCTCTAGCATGAGAAAAAAAGCCCTGTATTTGTTCTGCACAGTGCAAGCAAATGTAATAACATGCTTGCACTGTGTTTCCTTGCAACTTGTCTCTGGTGTCTCTATAAATGGATACCAGGAGACAAAAGGGCCAGGAAAGAGTATTGTACATGTGTTTAGAGCCTGCTTGGGGTATTGCGTGTGTGCAGAGTGAGCTGGTCGTGGTGTGGTATTGTGTAATAAGGTCGGTTTTAGTCGTGTTGTGTTTGTGGTGTAATGTAATGCATATGTGGCTAGGGGCTTTAGAGAATGTGTGTTTAGGGGATGTAGCAAGTGTGTGTATACAAGCTATAGTGTGTGTGTGTGTGTGTGTGTGTGTGTGTGTGTGTGTGTAGGTGATGTAGTGTTTGTAGAGTGTGTGTTCAGGGAATGTAGTATGTGTTTGCTTACAAGGAATCTAGTGTGCGTATAGGGGATCCAGAGTGTGTGTGTGTGTTTCAAGGACCCAGAATATGTATAGGAGATCTAGTGAGCGTGCGTATATAATGGATTCAGAGTGTATATAGGGATCTAGTGTGTGTATGTGTGTAGATGATCCAGAGTTGGGTAGAGGATCTAGTGTGTGTCTGGAATAAAATGTGTTTAGGGGTGCTGTGTGTGTGTGTGTGTGTCTGTGAGGGGTGCTGTGTATATTTATATGTGTATATATATTATATAAATATGTTTGGAAGTATTGTGTATGTGTGTGATGCAGTGTATCGGGGGGCTGTGTGTGTATGTGAGGGGTGCAGTATGTGTGTGTGATGGATCCTGTGTGTGAGGTGTGGGTGCTGTGTGAGGGTGCTGTATGTGTGGGTGCTGTATGTGATTGATTTGTGTGAGGGTGCTGTGTGTGTGGGTGCTGTGTATGATGTGTGTGAGAGTGTTGTGAGTGCTGAGTGTGAGTGCTGAGTGTTATGTGTTTGAGAGTGATGTGTGAGAGTGCTGAGTGCTGTGTGTCAGAGTGTTGTGTGTGATAGTGCTGTGTATGTGTGTGAGAGTGCTGTGTGTGTTGTGTGTGAGAGTGATGTGTTTGTTGTGTGTGAATGCTGAGTGTGAGAGTGCTGTGTGTGTTATGTGTGAGAGTGCTGAGTGTGATGTGTGTGAGAGTGCAGAGTGTGATGTGTGTGAGAGTGCAGAGTGTGATGTGTGTGAGAGTGCAGAGTGTGAGAGTGCTGTGTATGATGTGTGTGAGAGTGATGTGTATGATGTGTGTGAGAGTGCAGAGTGTGAGAGTGCTGCTGTGTATGATGTGTGAGAGTGCTGTGTATGATGTGTGAGAGTGCTGTGTGTATGATGTGTGTGTGAGTGCTGAGTGTGAGAGTGCTGTGTATGATGTGTGTGAGAGTGCTGTGTATGATGTGTGTGAGAGTGTGATGTGTGAGAGTGCTGTGTATGATGTGTGTGAGTGCAGAGTGTGATGTGTGTGTATGATGTGTGTGAGAGTGCTGTGTATGATGTGTGTGAGAGTGCTGTGTATGATGTGTGTGAGAGTGCGAGTGCTGAGTGTGAGAGTGCTGTGTATGATGTGTGTGAGAGTGCTGAGTGTGAGAGTGCTGTGTATGATGTGTGTGAGAGTGCTGAGTGTAAGAGTGCTGTGTATGATGTGTGTGAGAGTGCTGTGTATGATGTGTGTGTGAGTGCTGAGTGTGAGAGTGCTGTGTATGATGTGTGTGAGAGTGCATAGTGTGATGTGTGAGAGTGCTGTGTATAAATGTGTGTTGGGGGGGTAAATAAAGAAATAAAAAAAACACTAAGTAGGCATTAAATCCCCCCCCTCCCTCTTACCTTTAGCCTGGGAGGGGGGACAGGCATGTGGTGTCTGGGAGAGGGGGACCGGCACGGTGACATCATCCCTGGTGGTCCAGTGGTGAGTGAACTCTAGTCTGAGAGCTAGAGTTCACTCTCGCGAGATCGGGGTGTTGCTATGGCAACGCACCGGATCTCGCGAGAGGAACCTGGCGGAGCTACAAGATAGAGCTCCGCCGGGTCCTCTCCCTCCCTCCCCAGCCGCAGGTCTGTTTAAATGGGCCGGTGAGGGAGATCTTTGATCTCCCCACCGCCCTCCATGGAAGACAGCGGGGCCGGCGCTCGGATAGTGCCGGCCTTGCATACACATTTGTCCGGTGTGCCCGATGGCCAGTCCGGGCCTGGGTCTGGTGCAGAACAGGCTCTCTGGAGGCGGTTTGTAACTGTGGTCACAAAAATCAATGTTCTGGGAGAACGGGAAGCAGCTCCATTTTTTGGGGGTCCTTTACACAGCTCAAGGTCTGGGTCCCAGGATCCACCAGGGTCCAATGAGTTTGTTCACAGGGGGTGGAGGGTGTAGGGGATGTCCTGATATGTGTGTAAGGAATGCATTGTGTAAAATTGTGTTTGTATGTGTAAGGGCTGCAAGGTGTGTTTCTGTGTATGTATGGGATGCATTGAATGTGTGTAAGGGGTGCATTGTGTGTTTCTGCGTGTGTAAGGGTTGCATTGCTTGTGTATGTGTGTCTGTGTGTGTAATGGATTGTGTGTTTTTCTGTGAGCAAGGGGTGCATTGTGTGTATGTGATGAATGTCAATCTCTCCTCCCGCTCCAATTTCTCACCCCCCCTCCCCTTTCTCTCTCTCACCCCCCCTCCCCTTTCTCTCTCTCACCCCCCTTCCCCCCTACCTCCCTGTAGCGTGGCCGAGCCCAGTATAGTCCGTTGGTACAGGGA